ATAATATAATATAATATAATATAATATAATATAATATAATATAATATTTATTTATTTTTATTTATTTATACTTAAATGGCCCAACGGTTTGCATTCGCCCACAGGCGATGCACATGGCGATGAAACCTCCTAACTTTTTTCTTCGTTTCTTCCATATTGCTAATATATTTATCTACACACATGTCATAAACTCAATATAATGTGTTCAAAAACCGCAAATTACGTCCAGCATAAAGGTAAACTGTTTTGTTACAACAAATTTCTTATCTGTGAAAATGTTATTATTGCTTCATAATTTCGCTCTGGACCTTTTGGAGGGAAAAGTGTAGTTTTTATTTTGATTTTCAATTATTTTGTGAAATCTAGTTTAAAGTGGAATAGGATAGTGCTATTGTGCCTTAATCGAAGATTAAAACGCGAAATTATACGAATCTCGAACTAAAATACCCGTATCGGCCCGTTTTAAGGAATCCCGAGTCAATCCAAGCACGCCGCCTCAAATTGCCTATCCTCTTTGTGGCGGCCATATTTACGGAAACATATTTAAACTTCATGTTTAGGCTGATGGCTTTGCCAAAGCCTTAATAAAAAAAAATTATTGCTTCATAATACCATCGAATTCGATTTTATTATTACATTCAAATCGCGAACATCTCAGAAAAACAAAATAGTTTCATTGGACCTCAATTCTAATATCAGTTGAGATGAAGTTTTTTTCGAAATGAAATGTCAATAGCAAACAATTTTGACAATTTCACACGGTACTTGATATCGAACGATATGATAGTTGGGGCCGGTTCTAGTTTGTCTATGAATTAAAAATAAAAACTACGGTTGTGTGACATGCGTGAGAAAAGATTTTATTTGCCGCCATTTCGCCAGTCGTAATATGCGGTTCCTGAACACATCACAGAGAGCTTATAATATGTGCGTAGATAAAGCAGAGTATATAACTGTACATAATTAAGCATTAAAACACTCAGAGATGTGAGATGTTTTGAACGTTCACACATATTTTAAGGCCTTTCATTCTGCAACAGTCATATAAACTACTATTTATTTATGTTATTTTGTATATTGAACACAAACATAATATTATGTGTCTGTGTATATTGAATTCCTGAAAATATTTCCCCATATTTACATATAAAGTCATGATAGTCTTGGTTTGTACCTACCGCCTCTCAAGCAGAGAGCGTGGGTTCGAAGCCGGGCTAGCACCGCTGAGTTTTTTCGGAATTTATGTACGAAGTTTGAAATTTACAAAAATAATTTGCGAAGTTCCCAATCTGCATTTAGAGACGCGTGCAAACTACAGCCTTCTCATTGTCCTTTCACAATGGGCCTTTGCCCGGTTGTGGTATAAGTTAACTATTATTATTCTTACTCACTATAAGTTCTTTTAAAGTAATAAAAGATATACAAATATAAGCAACATATAAAAAAAAGAATCGCCGGTGGTCAATAACGGTCTTTTTTTCCTTGTGCGGAAGCGAGCAATTTCTGTCTACAAATCATACCTAAATTATTACAGTTACGTACTTAAAGTACGGAAAGATAAAAAATGTTTGCATATCGATAAGTTTAATAATACATTTATTCAAAGGAAAATACTGATTAAATAATTAGGTTACAATTATATATTTTTTCCAGTTTACTACATCAGATCACGAAATATTTTGTTAATTACAATTTGTATTACATTGTAATTTGTACTTTAATTAGGTTAGTTGTTTATAAACACATCTTAATCGGATTTAAATATCAGAACCTATTTATATTCCAAAATATAGGCAAGTTTAAATTTTTATTATTTTTAACCGACTTCAAAAGAAGGAGGGGTGCTCCATTCCACTTTTTTTTGTGTGTATGTTACACGACTAATCCGACATTTGTGAGTCAATTTCGACGATTTGTTGCAAAAAAAGATGTGAAGATGTTGCAAAAAGAGATTAAAATTTGAATGTAATATATCTTTTTTTAATAAAACATATTTACGTGCGTTTTTGACTTCCATCTCACCTGATGGAAAGTGACGCTTACTTATTCTCGCCTTGAAAAGACCCAAGTTATAGAGGGAACAAGTCTGGGGGCAGGCACTTGCACTCCATAGCCGTTCCCATATAAATGTGGAAACGAAACGCTTCTTGCGAGATCTGGATATTTTAATGCACGTGGCTTGGTTTTTGAAAGGAAATTTCTTTTTAATTTATCAAATTCAAAACATGAAATGCATGAAAAAAATGTATCTCAATATTCATAGATTAGCCCACCACCAGCGCAAAGTTGCCTATCGGTTTTATGTAGAATATATATGGTGAGCGTGCCCATGAACTCCATGAGCTCATGCCGCTCGCCCCCTTTTACCATCGGATGTCCAGACGTCGTACGGAGGAATATCGTTATCGAATGATTTCGATATTACTAATCCTGTCAGTCGAACGACAATTTATTAACCTACTAATTGTCGTATTCGAATGATTGGAATGATCATACACTACTAATTAGTATTACTACGTATTACTACTCCATAGATTCCATAGAGCATTTCTGCCTAGTCCTCTCTGAGACCATAATGTAGATGTGACGGAGACAGGGATTGATATGGACCATTGAGTACATAACCAGAAATAGAGACGAAATGTAACGTTGAAAACTATTCTGCCAAATCACTACTGTGGTAACTGCGCTCCGATTGGCCAGCCCGAATTCGAAACAATTGACGGGTGCCGCCAATTGTTTCACTTCAAATCGACCAGTTGAACTAGAGCTTTGCTATAATGGACGCTAATTGCAAAATAATATATTTAATATTTAATTATCGACGAAATGTGATTCCGTTTGTTTTGTAATTAGATGTTTTGTTGTGTTTCCCACACCACCGAACGGAACAGCCTTCTTTATTACAATAAATATACGGAATATTTTTGCAATATACGGAGACGTACACACAGGTCAATACTTGGCGCTGTACTATTTCAATTGTGATTTCAGCGCAAACGAGAATTGATATTTAAAAGTGATATAAGGCCCATTTACCTGATGAGTTGCCAGGAATATATGGACCTTATTTCGTCTCTATTTCTGATTTTATACTCGATGATATGAGCATAATGAATGGTACCGAGTAGTACCAACATAATAATCATTGGACTCGTTCACTCAACGATATCGGTAATCATCCAATTCGAGTCGAATGATTGTGCTTGGATTCGACTTAGGTCGAATGATTTGATCATTCGAATGATTAGTATTAATAACATTCAAAGTCGCTAGATCATCGCTAATCCCTAGTTAGCCCATGTTCCTTTCAGGCGTACTAAGCGTTTTAAGTTATCTTTTATTACACGCACAGCCCAGAAATGGAATGCCCTGCCTGTGATTGTGGTTCCGAGAACATATAACCCGAGTATATTTAAAGTGCAACTGAATAAGCATTTTCTAGGCGAGCTCGTGACATAGTAGACCGCTTAGAATAATAACGCATAGAAACCTAGTCCGCACACGCTAAGTGAGGCAAATTGAAGCGCGCCAAAAGGACCTACACGAGCGGGCGGGCCTTCAGTGCTCAAGGTCAACTTGCACCGCGAACAAATCAAGAATTTTAGCTAAAAATGACGAAATGTGCGGTAAATGAGTGTAAAAATACGTCAGACAAACATAAAATAGATACTAACATCACATTCCACAAGGAAGTAACGCGTTTCAACTTGTATTTTTACATAAATATTCACTAAAACCGAAAACTAACCTACTACTAAAACTAGCCTACATGAATTTGATTTTTGCCTCACTTGTGACAGTTCGTTTGATATGAAACTATCATTCTATGCGTTATTATTCTAAGGTAGACCGTATCTGTGCTTTAGAGCTAAGTAATGGTCAAGAAAAAAATCCATTTACTTCATTTTTTGTAAATCAGACATAACCTCAAATGGCTTTGGTTGATTCCGCATGACAGTGATAATGTTGAATTAATCACTTTGAAAAAAATGTATAGTAAAATTGAGGACATACACTGA